CTTTTTTTTTTTTTTGGTACCGGGGATTGAACTCAGGTCCTTGAGCTTGCTCAGCAGGCAGCGAAACCACTGAGCCAAATCCCTGGCTTTTCTCTTATTTTTGTACTTTATTGGGGCTATATGCAATGGTTTTGGCTTATGTATTTTAATGTTTCAAATTGCTTAAAGTAGATAGGATATAAAATCATAAGACTACCTTTTAGGGTTGCTTAAAAAATACAATGGAATTTCAGATACTCCACAGAAAGACTCATTGGGTTACGAGGCATTGTTTTAGTGACTGAACAAACAGATTCTTAGAATGTTAGGGCTGGGAATCGCTCTAGCAGTAATAGAATCTTCTCATTTTTGGATAAAGAAACTGAAGCCCAGAGATGCTAAGTGAATGCCTAAGGTCACTTACAGAGTTAATGACACAGTTGAATCTAGAATCCAGATTTGCCAACTGCTAGTTTAGGGCTCTTTCTGCCATACCATGCTGTTTATTGGAAAAAAGGGCTTTCCTAGAGGTAATTACTACAAGCAGTATGGGTTTTCTGACAGAGTGGCCCTGGAATTTGCCTTTCTAGTGTTTCATTCTTAAAGGTTTTTGGAATTATTTTAGGGCCTCGAGATGCTTGTTGTAATTAATTATGAATTACCAGTGTTTAATATGCCTCAGTCATTTAATCTCCACAGTATTCTCTTGATGTTTAAGTACTATTGGCCCATTTTATATATGCAAAAATTACAGCTTAGGAAAGCTGAACAACTTAGTGAAATCATGTCATAAATAAATGGAGGAGTGAGGATTAGATCTAGGACTGATTTCAAAGCTGTTTGTAGCAGAAGTGACTCTGTTAGTCTTTTTTTGATTTTATATTAAACAATCTTTTTAGCTGAGATACTTTTTCAAAAACCAGACAGGATTGTCTCTGTGTCCCAGAAGTAGCAGAATGACATCATACGTAGGAAATGCTAGTCTAATAGTTTGTAACTGCTTCTTTCAGCATTTAAGAAGGTATTGATACAAATTACAGTAATACCTTGGTTCTTGAAGGCTTCAGTTTACAAACAAAAGTGTTTTGCAAAATTTTGCTTCCATTCATAAACTGCATTGGGTAACAAACACAACCACGGCTATCTTCCATACAAACCATCTTTTCCCAAATCATAAAACAAATTAAGTTCATAAAATGAAGTACCACTATATTTTAACCAGCTCTGTTCACCATTGCCATTACCACTGTGTTTTTCTTACTCAGTTGGTTTTAGTTTTTGGTGCTTTTTGAGACAAGGTTTCACTGTGTAGCCCAGGCTGGCCTTGGACTCACCTCATTCCTCCTGCCTCAGCCTCTCAAGTGCTAGGATTATGGGTGTGCACCACCACGCCCAGCTTCATTTAGTTTTTGGGTTTTTTTGGGTTTTTTGGTACCAAGGATCAAACTCAGGACTTTGTGCTTGTGAGGCAGCAATGCCACTGAGCTAAATCCCTGGCCCACTTCATTAAGTTTTTGAGACAGGGTCTTGCTATGTTGCCCATACTTATCTCAAACTCTTGAGCTCCAGCCTCAGCCTCCCAAGTAGCTGGGACTGCAGTTGTGTGCCACCACACTTGAAAAGGCTTTGCCTTTTTAGAGTGTTTAGTAATTAAGACAAAACCATTGACATTTTTACATGTTCTGCAGATTCTTTCTGGCATCAAACCCAGTACCTCCCTCATGCTAGGTTAAGTACTCTTTATCACTGAGCTTCATCCCTAGCCCAGACTTTCTTCTGATGTTTGCTTTTACTACTTTCCATTATTTCCTGTAGGAGAAGAATACTTTAGTGTGAAGTTCTCGTTGAGAGATTATTATAGTCATCTGAATGCTAGAGAACTTATAGTTCCTTACTTAAGTTATACTTTAATCTCTTCAGTATAGCATTTCTGTAATGCTTTTATCAAAAGTTAAGATATTTAAAATCAAACCTTCATGGAAATGGCAGTATAGCAGAGGTAAGGTATGGTGAGACAAATGAAGCAAAAAGACAACAGAGTATGAAACTATATTGAGTAAAAATTATGTCCACACTATTCTAACCTGTGGAGACTACAAGAGCAGGGGAAAGTTTCCATATTTCAGAAAATTATGCACCTCACAGTCATTCTGGAAGTTTTATCATCTTCTAGGGAGCAAGAACTAAGATGTTTGTAGGTGCCTATAATTAAAAGAGGTATTCCTATCCTGGAAGAGATATTATTAGTTCTTTAAGGTGGTAAGGTGTGTAGGGTATGGGATAGATATAGAAAATTAGGTAAGGCAAGGGTAGTACAATTAAAGAAGAGTTTGTTTTGTGTTATGGATCAAACCCAAGACCTTGAGTATGCTAGGCAATTGCTTTACCATTAAGCCACATCCCCAGTCAGGGAGAGTTCTTTTTTGGGAGGGAGGGCAGGTTGAGGTTGAGACAGGGTCTCACTATCTAGTCCAGGCTGGCCTCGTTCTCACAACACTCCACCTGCTTCAGCCTGGCAAGTGCTGGGATCACAGGCCTATGCTACTATACTAGGTCTGTCTGTCTCTGTGTGTGTGTCTCTCTCTCAAGGTCTCACTGTATATACCTCAGGCTGGCCTTGAACTGTGTGAGTTCAGATATGCAACACTACTCCCTGATGAGAATATCTTTTTTAAAAAACGTTTATATCCTTAAAGATTGACCAAAAAGCCTACATAACAGGGCTGGGCGTGGTGGCTCACACCTGTAATCCCAGCTCTTGGGAGGCAGAGGCAGGAGGATTGCTGCAAGTTTGAGGTCAGCCTGAGCTACATAATGAGTTCAAGGCCAGCCTGAACTACAAAGTGAGACTCTGTCTCAAAAAAAAAAAAGCCCACATAACATAAAAATAAATATTTTAGTTAGACATGGTAGCCCATGCTTGTAAGTCCAGCACTCAGTAGGCTGAGGCAGGCGGATCACCGCAAGTTCAAGGCCAGCCTGAACTACATAGTAAGACCCTGTCTATTAAAACCAAAAAACCCCAAACTTAAAATGAACAATTTAGTGGCATTTAGTACATTCAGTATATGGTAATACAATCAGTGCCTGTATTTAGTTTCCAAATATTTTCATCACCCCAAAGAAAACGAGTATTCATTAAGCAGTTATTCCTCATTTCCCTGTCTTCCCAACTTCTGACAGCTATGAGAATCTGAGTTCTGACTTGATGGATTAACTTATTTTGAATATTTCATAAAAGTGGAATCACACAATATGTTACCTTTTGTGTTCATCCCATGATCACACTTAACCAACAATTTTAAGATTCAGATTATCATCTGTATTCAACTTCAGGTAGTATTGATGACCAGCTGTCTTATAAAATCTTTACATTTTTTGTTTTAGAATTTGTGGTAATGAGCCTAGCTAGTATCAGAACTGTTTCAGAGCCATTTTATTTATCCGCCTTATCTTTTGTTTCGTTTTGTTTTGTTTGGTGCTGGATATGGAACCCAGGGGCTCATATGATAGACAAGTATTTTACCAAGTGAGCTACAACCCCAATGTTCACCTTCCTTTTATCTTAAACTAGTAGAATCCTTTCAGTTTGGGGTGTGGCAGTTGTAGTTACAGCACACTGACAACTTTCCCACTTAGAATTGTTCCATTTAAAAAAATACTTGGTAAAGGGGCCGGGGATTTAGCTAGTGGTTCCAGTGCCTGCCTTGAAAGTGCAAGGTCCAGAGTTTGATCCCCGGTACCAAAAAAAAAAATACTTGGTAAAGGTTTTTGTGAACAGGGTGTATCACTGGAAAATTTGAAGCCACAATTTTATTACTTAGGATTTCTATTTTCATGAGCAGATATGAACTATGTAGGACATAAGAAACAAGGTCCTGTTGACTTTGAACCTAGGAGAGGTTAGGTTTGAACCTATGTTGAGTTTAAAGAACATTTTGCTAAATATCCTGTGGTTTTTTTTCCTGGTACATTCCAGAAACATCAGCTCACAGGTGGCATGGACATTGTCATTAGGTTTATGTGATCCTTGGTCCGAAGGTTTCATGGCAAGCTTTTTTGTCCTGTGGGGAAACTGGTAACTTATTTTTGAGCCTATTGATTTCATCATTACATTTATATAAGGACTTAATTGGTTTTGGTACTTATACTGTTTACCTCTGTAAGCTTCACAGTTTTAAAACACACTGTAAGTTGTAGGATATTTTGAAAACTAAAACCATGAACAAATTTTCATTATGTTGCATTATTTGGCTATTGAGATGGTCTCTTGACAGATAACCCTGTTCTGAGAAGCTCCTTATAGCTTTCCGCATGTATTGCCTATATTATATGTGTAAGTCTAAGACTTGGTGCCAGTGCTAAGTGGTCAGTTTGGTTTTAGAAAGCTCAGTTATATTTAGGATATCCAAAAGGAAAAGTGGTACTTGTAAAACTTGGAAAAGACCACAGTTAATTTTTTGTTGTTATTGTTTTTTTGGTACCTGGGATCTAACTCGGGACCTTGCTCTTGTGAGGCAGGTGGTGGAACCACTGAGCTAAATCCCCAGCCCTGACCACAGTTAATTTTTATATACTTGTGTAGAAAGTTCAAGGTTAGCCTGGACTAGTGATGAGACCCTGTCTCAGAAAATATAAAAATAAAAAAGATCATTACGGAATCTTATAAAGTACTAATCATAGCTTTCTTGGTCTACTGAGTTACCCAAAGAGACTGTAAAAGTAGATAGGTATTTGTTGAGCAAATCCAACTAATTTCATCTGTGCTGGGCTGTACATGTGTAAAAAAAAGGAGAGAATAAGCGTTCTTTTATTAATATACTTCAGTTACTGAAAATTGGCTGTAATTGGTAGATTTTTAAAAATGTGTTAAACAGAGATTTCTTACTTGAAAACCTGAGGTATCTGCTATTGATCTGAGTGTTGAGGTTTGTGGTATTATTGAAGTTCTGTTTTTACTGTATATTAAAAGTAAAATGATGTGTAGATCCTAATTTTTAATAGAACTTAATTCTTTTAAGCAGTACCTGTGGAATCCTCTGAAGAGCAACAGTCATTATTGTGTGAAGGTAATTTTTTATGGGACTCTTAATTGAGAAAGTTATTTATAGTGAAGCTAAATATTGTTTTGTAAATATGTATTATATCTCAATCTTGTTTATAGGTTCAAATTCAGCTGTTAGCATGGAACTTTCAGAACCTGTTGGTAAGAATTTCTGACCATACTAATACAGTAATATGAAACTTTCACTCTTCAGATTTAAGGTGCAAATGTAAATGTTATGATTATCATAATGGCTACACTTAAGACACATTGAGTCTTTGCTGTTAGAATTTATAAAGCAGAGCTGGGGATTTAGCTCAATGGTTCCCGTGCCTGCCTCACAAGTGCAAGGACCCAAGTTCCATCCCTGGTACCAAAAAAAAAAAAAAAAAAGGAATTTATAAAGCAGAGCTAATTGGGCATTAACACTATCTTGATAAATTTAGCTATTGGAAAAAAAATTGAGTGGAGTGCTGCAGTCAATTTAAATAGTTGTGCTTATTCCCTTTACTTTGAAAATTTCTTTCCTTTCTATAATTTTATTACTCGTAGAGGTTTCCATGTTCTCAAGGTGCTTATTAAAGTTGATACCAGGGCTAGGGATTTAGCTCAGTGGCACCGTGCCTGCCTTGCAAGTGCAAGGTTCTGAGTTTGATCCCCTTGAACAGGGGGGAAAAAAAAGTTGATTCCAAAGTTTTCTTATATGAAAAGGAAAAAGCTGGGCATAGTGGCACACACCTGTAATCCCAGCACTCGGGAGGCTGAGGCAGGAGGATTGTCAGGAGTTTGAGGCCAGCCTAGGCTATAGAGTGAGTTCAAGGCCAGCCTGAGTAACAGTAGAATCTGTCTCAAAAAAAAGTGCCCCCCCCAAAAAAAAGGAAAAAGAAAATACATCTCCTAGGTCTTTTCACACTTTTCCTGTGTTCCAATTTTAAACTTTCTCTTTTTTCCCTCTGTCAAGTCATCTTGAGATTAGAATCACTGGGCTGTTGGGAATGTTAGCTCTCGTGTTTTACCTTTGGTTTGTCCTTAAGAAATGAAGCCTTGGGCCGGGGATTTAGCTCAGTGGTTTCACTGCCTGCTGCGCAAACGCAAGGACCCGAGTTCAATCCCTGGTACCAAAAAAAAAAAAAAAAAAAAGAAAGAAATGAAGCCTCACTAACAGTAATCTCATAGTCTCCAAGACAGCTCTGATATCAGTGAGGCCAGCTTGAAAGCAATTAGCCATTTCTGTTGTGAAAGAGATTTTCTTACTTATGTGTCACTGGACACTAAGGAATGGAACTTATGTATGTGAAGTTCCACTGGTTTTAAAGTATGTATTTTACAATTTAGGCAAATCTTTTTTTCAGAATACTAAGTTAAAATATCTGTGTTCAGTAGAAAATGGAGAGACGGAAATGTCCCCAGAAGAATCGTGGGAGCTCAAAGAAGAAATAAATGAAGCAGAGCCAGGGGGTGGTTCCTCGGGGGATGGAAGGCCACCTGAGGAAAATGCCCAGGAAATGATGGAGGAGGAAGAGGAAATACCAAAACCGAAATCCATGGCTGCACCGCCAGGGGCTCCTAAGAAAGAACATGTAAATGTAGTATTCATTGGACATGTAGGTGAGCAGCACTCATAGCATTTATAAGAAATGACCAAAAAGATTGGATAAGACCTCTTATTTAGCTAGATATTTGGAGATGTTCAGTGACACTGAACTGAATTATCTAAAATGCCCTGCTTTGATATTGTTTTTGGTGCAAGGGGGGATTGGGGGTGGTGATGGGGTTTGAACCCAGAGCCTCACACATGCTAAATTACTTTGATTTTTTTTTTTTTTAACTTTCTCGATTTTGTTTAAGTTTGCAAATTATTACAAGTACTTTGTTGTTGAAGTTTGGGCAGGTGAATAATTTGCATAGAAATTGGTAGAAAAATACATCTACATTTGGTTGTAATGTATAATTAGTCTGTAGGTACTGGTTACATTTTGGCATACTATGATATGTTGATATCTAGGAAAGGCACTACTTATTTTTTAAGACTTTAGTTGTATTTTAGTGGAATTAACCTTATTACTAGTTTAATTTTATGTGAAGTAAGAAATTCATAATTGGAGTATTTCTGTGTGCTTGTCAAGTTGTTGGTTTAGCAAAATAAATTAACAAAATCAGATATTCTCTAATTGTCTAACATATCCCCAAATTAGTGACAAGAAAATACAGAATTCTGTGCCTTTGCTGGGGATTTAGTTCAGTGGCACCATGCCTGCCTCACAGGTACAAAGGTCATGAGTTTGATCTCTGGTACCAAAAAACAAAAGAATTCTGTGCTGTTTTTCATTTATGTCTGCCTTCCCCATAACAAACACTAAACTCTTTTTCTTAGAAGAAAAAACTACTCTGAAGTTTGTAAATGAACACATCCTATTTGCTAAAGTGAGAGGAAGACTAATGTTCACAGTTCTTTAGCTGTTGTGCTGGTAGCTGAATATTGGGGAATAGTCTGCTCAAAAATTCTGTTTCCTTATCAGGAAAGTATATTTCTAAGTCATTATTGCCTTGTAGCAAGTCATAGCCACATTTTCCAAGGGAGAAAGTAACTAGGCTTTGTTCCCTACATTCCTATTATAGTTCAGTTGCTTTTGCAAGACTTACTTATACATGCTACATGTAACTGTAGTTGTATTTGCAGCATAGTAGTGTTTTTTAACCTATGATTTGTGTATTGTTGACATTACTTTTAGATGCGGGCAAGTCAACTATTGGAGGACAAATAATGTGAGTCTGTGTCTTTTCTTAAATAATAGTATTAATTTAATTGAGCAAATGTCAGGCATTGTAAACATTCATGTAGCCATACAAGAGATAAAACAGGTCATCCCAGGTTAAGAAAAATTAACAAAACCACCTTTAGGGAAGGCAGATACTAAGTAATTTTTGCAGCGTGATCATTGTTAGTAATTTAATCACCATGAGACTCTAATGAACATTGCTTAAATGTGTTTCTGAAACCTGTCTTTTTAGATTTTTATTACAAAACCCTAGAATACAAGAAATCTTAGTCTACTTTGAATATACAGATGGTCCCTAACTTACAATGCAAAAGTAGTATGCATTCAGTAGAAACAGTACTTCAAACTTGATGACTTTCCTCTTTTTCCAGGCAGTATGATACTCCCTCATGATGCTGGGCATCAAAGCAGCAGCAAGCTATAGCTCCCAGTCAGTGATTACTGGGGCAAACAACCAGTACTCCATACAGTATACTGTGTTTTTTGTATATTGTATATTGTGTGGTTTTATGTCCTGTCAACAAAATGCCCTTCTGTGAGTGTTCATGAATTGTTTAATACTTTATTATAAAATAGGCTTTGTGATAGATAATTTGAGTCAACTGTAGGCTAGTATAAATGTTCTGAGCACATTTAAAGTAGGCTAGGCTAACCAGTGTTCAGAAAGTTAAATGCTTTATATTTTCAGTTTATATGGAATAGGACCTAACCCCATTATAAGTCAAGGAAAGTCTATAATTTATTTGAGAATAATGAATTTTGTGAACAAGGTAAACTTTTTCATTATTATCTACCATTGAGCTATATTCTCAGCCCTTTTTGTTTTATGAGGTAGTGTCATTAAGTTGCCCAGCTGGCCTTGAACTTTCAGTCCTCCTGCCTCAGTCTCCTGAGTAGCTGGGATTACAGATGTGTACCACTTGCGTCCAGTTGAGTATTTACTTTTTTTAAAAAAAAACTTTTATTCTGAAAAATGTAAGCACTGGTCATCATGGCACATGCCTGTAATCACAGCATTCTAGGAGGCTGTGGCAGGAGGTTTGCAAGGTCCAGGCCAGCCTGGGCAAGTTACTGAGACCTTATCTTAAAAATAAAGTTTAGGAAAAAAAATAAAATTTAGGGCTGGGGATTTAGCTCAGTGGTTCCACCACCTGCCTCGAAGGTGCAAGGATCTGACCTCGATCCCCGGCACCAAAAAATAAATAAATAAATAAACAAACAAATAAATAAAATTTAAAAAGGGTCGAGGTTGTAGCATAGTAGTAGAGCATTTGCCTAAGCATGCATGAGGCCCTAGGTTTAATCCCCAGTACCACCAGAAAATTTTTCTTTTACCTTAGAGAAAGGTTGCAAAAACAGTACAGAATTCTCATAGACCCTTCATTCAGCCTACCCTAATGTGAGCATATTGCATAAACATAGTATACTCATCAAAACTAGGAAATTAATGTTAGTATACTGTTAACTAAAGAATAGACCTTATTTGAATTTCATCAGTTTTTCCACTGATTCCTTTTTTATATTCTAGAATTTCTCATTGCATTTAGTTGTATCTCTTTTTAGTTTCCAAGCTGTGACATTTTCTCAAGTCTTTCCTTACCTTTATTACCTTAGTAATTTAAGAGTACTATTTAGTTATTTCATAGGATGTTCTTCGATTTGAATTTGACTGATATTTTCTCACAATTAGAACAAGATTGTGCATTTGGGGCAAGAATATCACAGAAGGGTATTCTCAGTGTGTTCTGTCAAGGGTACATAATATCAGTAATTATGCTTTAAGCTGGACATGGTAGACCATGCCTATAATCCCAGCACTCGGGAGGTTGAGGAAGGAGGATCACTGTGAGTTTGAGGCCAGCCTGAACTACATAGCAAGACCGTGTCCCCCCCCCCCCCCAAAATCATGCTTTACTTATTTAGTGTGCTCTACATAATAACAAGTGACTTAGCCATGATTATTTGGTCTAGGTGTTATCTGTCAGTATTCTCCCTTATAAAATTAGTACTGTTTTCCCTTTATTTGATAATCTGAGACTGGGTATATATGTCCTTTATTTTTTATATATATCCTTTTTTCACTTAATTTTTCCATAGTTTTAGCATCTTACTGATAATTTACTTAAAAATAGCTTTTCTGGAGTTGAAGTTCTCAAAAGCTTTATAGAGTTTTCCTCATTAATTTGTGAGTAATTCTTTTTTTCTTAACTGTTTTCAGGTATTTGACTGGAATGGTTGACAAAAGGACCCTTGAAAAATATGAAAGAGAAGCCAAAGAAAAAAACAGAGAAACTTGGTAAAATTTCATGACGCTGTAAATTACTTTTAAGGAAATACTGCCCACTTAATAGTTTTGTAAGCCTATTAAAATATAAATTCTTAGCTGACTAAATGGTGCATATACCTCTAGTCCCAGCTACTCGGGGTGGAGGTGGGAGGATCAGTTGGGTCCAGGAAATCAAGGCCACCCTAGACAATGTAGTGAGACCCTGTCAATTAAAAAACAAGTAATTCTTGAGGTCTAAAATGGTGCCATAATAAAGACAGTTTCCCTTCCCATCATAATACGTGGTAGATCTATTCCTAATGACTTCATAATTTACATGGAGAAAATTTGGAAACTATCCAAACATCTAGTAAGATATCTGTTAAACGATAAGCCACTCGTTTAATTAGGTCATTGTATAACCACTAAATTAATTTTGTAAAATTTATGGTGAGCAGGAATAGAATTTATGTTGCAGTGGCATTTGGGGAGAAAGTTGGAAACAACATATGATCATAATATAAATACTAGCAAGCAAAAAAGAATAGAAGAAAATACTGACATTGGTTACTGTAAATGGTGAGAGGAAGGGTTCCTTTTTCCTGCTTTGTAATCACATATTTTACTTTTAGGGGTTTTTTTTGTTTTTTTTTTTTTTTTTGGTACCGGGGATCGAACTTGGGACCTTGCTCTTGGGAGGCAGGCACCAGAACCACTGAGCTAAATCCCCAACCCATTTTACTTTTAGTTTTAAAAAATTGCAGCTGGGAATGTAGCTAAGTGTTAAATGCTTTGCCTACTATGCATGAGGCCTTAGGTTTGAATCCCAGCCCTGCACACACAAAAAAAGGAACACAGGGAGGGAGAGAGGACTTTTATCATTTCAAAAATATTTGTATTTTTCTGTATTAAAGGGAAAATCTTCTAATCAGTGTGAGGCTTAAAAAGATTATATGCTATGAAATTCAGAGGATGAAGTAATCTAAACATCTACTGTTAAGTTTGGCATTATGTAAAAATTATATAACAATTATATAATGCTAAATTATTTTTAGCAAGTAACTAGTACTCCCACATGATGGATTGGTGTCCTCTACTTCTACTTAAAAAAAAATTGATTTTTTATAATCATTTGTGCTGTATTTTATGCATGAATTATAAGGGATCTCATTATGACTGAATTCATAGTGATTTTGGCCTTAGTGCTGAATACTGTCTTTTTCTGTGTTGTCAGCTTATTTTTATTTACAATGTGTGCTTATAGAATATATAATTGACAGGATATAGGTAAGGGCTCTGTTTGAATCACAATAATACATATTTTATTTTTTTAACTTTTTTTTTTGTACCGGGGATCGAACTTGAGACCCTGCACTTCTGAGGCAGGCGCTGGAAGCACTGAGCTAAATACCCGGCCCTTAACTTTTATTTTCATCAGTCCTTTTTATGTGATCGACATAAAGCTAGATGTCATCAATTACATGTTTAATGATAGAAAAACATCTTTCAAGACACTAATGTTTTTAGCAATATAATTATTATTTTAAAAATTCTTCCAGGTACTTGTCTTGGGCCTTAGACACAAATCAGGAAGAACGAGACAAGGGTAAGACAGTAGAAGTGGGTCGTGCCTATTTTGAAACAGAAAAGAAGCATTTCACAATTCTGGATGCCCCTGGCCATAAGAGTTTTGTTCCAAATATGATTGGTGGTGCCTCTCAAGCTGATTTGGCTGTGCTGGTAAGAGAAACATTTTCAGTCCTGTGTGTATTAGCAGCCCAGTTTATGTCATAAATATTTGAATTTACCTTCTAAAAGTTAGAATTTAGGTTGCAGAGAATTGTAATAATGTAGTCACAATTTTCATTTTTGTTGCACTAACCTGCCCACAGAATCTTCTGGTGTTGATAGGGATTGAACCCAGAGCTTTGCCATGTGCTAAGACAAGTGTTCTATCACTAACACCACCAGGCCAGTCTTACTTGTTTGTTTGTTGTACCTGAAGCCCTCTGCACTGAGCTACATCCCCAGCCTTTCAAAAAAATTTTTTTTATTTTGAGACAGGATGTCACTAAGTCACTTAAATTGTGAAGGGTAGGGTTAAACTCCTGTCTCTTCTTCCTGAGCTCCTCCTCCTTTAGCCTCCCAGAGTGTTGGGATTACAGGTGTGTGCTACCACCTTTGGCTAAGAAATCTTTGTAACTTAATTCTGAAGCTACATTTTAACTTTTCTCTTCCATTGCTTTCTATTAGTGTGTCAGAACTTAGTTTAAACCCACCAGGAATGGATAAGGTAGCATGTGCTTCTTAAGGCTTTCAGTCATTCCTCACAGATTTGATAGTATACTAACACTAGATCACATAAATTGATTATTAAAATGCATTGCTGAGAAGCTGTGTGTGATGGCATGTGCCTATAATCCCAGCACTCTTGAGGCTGAGACAGGAGGCTCACAAATTTGAGCACAGCCTGGACAGTTTACTGACTTAGACCCTGTCTTAAAAAAAAAAAAAGTTCAGATGTTGGAAGAAACTCAAGTCTTCATTTGTTTTTGGCACTTGGGAATTGAATGTAGGGCCACAAGCATGTTAAGCACATACTTTATACCTGAGCTACACCCTTGGCCCCAAACATTCAAATCTTTATTTATTTATTTATTTTGAGACAAAGTTCTACTATGCTGGACAGGTTAGCCTTGAACTTACTATGTATCCCAGGCTAGCCTCAAACTCATGGCAACCCTCCTGCTTCAGCATCCCAAGTGCTGGGATTATAGGTGTGCTCTACTATGCTTGGCTCCAAACTTTCGAATCTTAAGCCATCCAAGAATTATTTGATTTCTGACAAAGACATGTATATTGTAGCTCATTTGCTTCTGATTTCTTGAGAAACCCTCTGATATAAGTGAAAAGATGTTTCACTGCAGAAAAGTATGTCTGAAGGTAAATTACTTGATATTTTTGAACAGGTAATCTCAGCCAGGAAAGGAGAGTTTGAAACTGGATTTGAAAAGGGAGGACAAACCAGAGAACATGCAATGTTGGCAAAGACAGCAGGTGTAAAACACTTAATTGTGCTTATTAATAAGATGGATGATCCAACAGTAAATTGGAGCAATGAAAGGTAAGCTTAGCTGTCACTGTGTTAGTAGAATAAAGGATGCTTCTGTTATTGTATGTGTATTTCACTGGAATTTTCCTAAACTTTAATTTACTTAGGAAACTAGAGTTCATTTGGTTGACATTTAATTGAGTTACTTGTAAATATTCATAGATATGAAGAATGTAAAGAGAAGCTAGTGCCATTTTTGAAAAAGGTTGGCTTCAATCCCAAAAAGGACATTCATTTTATGCCCTGCTCAGGACTGACTGGAGCAAATCTCAAAGAGCAATCAGATTTCTGTCCTTGGTACATGTAAGTAACCTTTTATTTCCCTTTAAAAAGTGTGTGTGGGGGGTTATGTTTTAATCAGTAATTTAAGAAAATATTGGCTGTAACCTTGGCTTAAAAAAATAGCAAGACAGGGCCGGGGATTTAGCTCAGTGGCACTGCGCCTGCTCAAGGACCTGAGTTCGATCCCTGGTACCAAAAAAAAAAGCAAGACCTTGTGCCTATCCCCCTCCACCACACACACCATGGAACATGGGGATCATATCCAGTGATCCAGCCTCACACATGCTAGGCAAGCACTTAGCCACTGAGTGTGGCACTCCAGGCCCCTTTGCCCATTTTTAATTGGGTTGATTTTTTATGAGTTAGCACAAACTTAAGGGTGCTCTACCCCACCCCCTTTTAAATTTTACTTTGAGACAGAGTCTCACCAAGTTGCCCAGGCTAGCCTCGAAGTTTAAAACTTTAGCCTCCTAAGTGGCTGAGATTACAGGTGTGCCCCACTTATGTCTGGGTCTTGAGTCTTAAAAGTTCTTTATGTACTGTATACAAGTACCTTATCAGGTACATGATTAGCAAGTATTTTTTCATTCTGTAGGTTGCTTCTTTGTCACTTTTTTTTTTCCTTTTTTTTTTTCTTTTGGTGCTGGGAATTGAATCCAGGGCCTTGCATACACTAAACACTCACATTGAGCTGTACCCCCAGCTATCCTTTTTCACTTTTTTTTGGTTCTGTGTTTGAACCCAGGGCCTTGTGTCTGCTAGGCAAATACTCTACTACTGACCTTCGTCACGAACCCTTGCTTTTTTGTTTTGTTTTGCTTCTGTTTTTGAGTACTGGATATTGAACCCAGCACTCTACCACTGAGCTTCACCTCCAGTCTGCTACACATTTTATTTTGGGACAGGGTCTCTCACTAAGGTACCCAGGCTGGCCTCAAACTTGTGATCTTCCTGCCTTAGCCTCCTGAGTAGCTGAGATTACAGGCATGCACTGCCAGGCCCAGCTGCAAAGGGTTTTAATTTTTGTAAGGTCCACTTTATTTTTCCCTCTTGTGGATGATTCTTTTCATATCATACCTAAAGCATTGCCTGACTTAAGGTCAGGATCAGTCCTATATTTTCTTCTAAGTGTGTCATAATTTTTTTAGCTTTTACATTATATGCTTCATTTTGAATTTTTCATGTAAAGTGTAAGATAAAGTCTGTGTCTGTGTTCACTTTGCTTTTGTATATATGTGTGTAGGCACAATTTATTGAAGGTTAAATCTTTATGAAGTTGGATTGGCATCCCCACTGAAAATCAAATGACCACAAATGTAAGAGATTTATTTCTGGACCCACAGTTCTGTTCTTAATGGTCTGTATGGCTGTCCTAGGCCAGAATCACAGTCTTTTTATTTATTTTTATTTTATTAGTGTATATTTGCAAACAGATAGTCTTGATTATAGTAGCTTTGAAGTTTCAAATCAAAAAGTGTCTTTAATTTTTATTCTTTTCTAGATTGTCCTGAGTCCCTTCAGTTTCCATGTGAATGTTAGGATTAGTTTGTAAGTTCTGCAGAGCATGCAGCTGGACAATGTTAAGTCACCCAGTCCAAATAAAAAGGAAATTTTTTTATGGAATTGTGATTTCAGAGCTGATAAAAATTAAATTTCAGAGTCCATAAAAACTAGATAAGCGTATAATCAACATATTACAATGTTTGGCCTATTTGCTAATAAATATTTTTCTAAATTTAAGATAAATTTACAGGAGGAGTTGTATGATACCAAGTTATTGACTACATTTTTATTTTTCTAAGGGATAACTGTGATGAAATGGGAGCCAGGTGTGGTGGTGAATGCCTGTAATCCCAGCACTTGCGAGGCTGAGGCAGGAGGATCACTGTGAGGTGAAGGCCAGCCTGGGCCACATAGTTCTAGGCCAGCTTACAGTACAAAGCTAGACTCTGTCTCAAAAAACCAAAGAAATCATGAAATGGGTACTAAATTGAGTATAAACAGTATATGGGTAAACTGAAAAATGTTATAACCACTTTTTTAATTTAGTCATGTTACTTCTTAAAATTTTGATATTTATGTTGTTAACTTCCTGTAATGTATATTGTTATGTTCTCAGTGGATTACCATTTATTCCATATCTGGATAACTTGCCAAACTTCAATAGATCAGTTGATGGACCAGTCAGGCTGCCAATTGTGGATAAGTACAAGGTATTCAAAATATTAAATTGGATTTTGTGAGAGGTGAAGTTTATTGTTGTGTTTTTTGTTCCTAATTATCAATGATTTTATTAACAACATAACATTCCATTTTAATGGCTGTATATTACTTTGTGGTATAAATAGACCATAATTTATTCAGCAAATTTTAGTTTTTTCAGCTGTTCCCAGTGAGCCAGTGATCATTTTTTTAAGTGATAAACTCATACTGGTGAAACTGCTGGGCTCAAATGACTTTCACATTAAAGTTGATGGATATTGATAAATAGCTTTGCAAAAAATACTACGCTGGCCAGACATAGTGACGCATGCCTGTTGTCACAGCTACTTGGAAGGCCAAGGCAAGACTGTCTAGGCAAGTCTAGATAGTCTAGCAAGGTGCTGTCTTAAAATAAAAGGGGTGGGGGCTGGGGATTTAGCTCAGTGGTTTCGCCGCCTGCTGCGCAAGCGCAAGGACCCGAGTTCGATCCCTGGTACCGAAAAAAAAAATAAAATAAAAGGGGTGGATGTAGCCTTAGTGCTCTGTGGGTTCAATCACAGTACATGGGAGAGAGGGTTATGCTAATTTGTAATACCATCGGCAGCATATGAGTGCTATTTTTATCATAGACACATAGGTGCTGGGAATCAAACTCATGGTCTTGTGCATGTTAGGCAAGTGCCCTGCCACTAAGCTAGTCTTCTAGCCCCCCTTAGATGTCAGCCTTTAAAAAAATTAACTTTGTTGTTTTTCACTGGATTTTCAGCTTGGTTTTTAAAGTTTTACAGTATCAATTTATATCGTGTTTTGACCTCCTGAAATATTTTATTCTTTATTTGTTCCATTCTGAAGTTCTGAATGAGTATTTTTCCCCCCAGGTTTATATAGGGGGGAATAGGCTTAGCGCTCAGGAGAACATGAATTTGTACAAACAATTCAGAATCTCTGACATAAAGTTTTTGGTTTTTTTATCATGCTTTCTTAAAAAATTTAAGGCATCTTTAATATTATACATATGCTTATGGCACAAATCATTACAGAGCATTTGTTATCTCCCTGTGCTTAAGTTTAATCCTAAGTATTCCACCACTTTAAAGCTAATGATTGTCCTATATGGTAAGCACTGTAAAGTTTCTCTTTGGACTATTTACCTACTGAAAAACACTAATAAAAGTTTGCAACTTAATTTTTTTATTTTAAATTTGAACAGGATATGGGCACTGTGGTCCTGGGAAAGCTGGAATCAGGATCTATTTGTAAAGGCCAGCAGCTTGTGATGATGCCAAACAAGGTAAAACTAATGTTCTGTCCCTTGTAGATTTTCTTTTGAATATATTAAGGAACTAGTTTTTTTTCAAAATGAACTACAACTATTCAAAAACTTAGGAATTTCCATTAAAACAAACTCTGCTTTCTAAAGTAATGATTTATGTTTTATTGAAACCAAGTATGAAATGTGAAAAAGAACATATGATGTTTCTGTTATTCAACAACAAATGGGTCAGCTAGAGCTAAAAAGATGCAGTATAAATGAGACCTTCATCCCTGTTATATAATAGGCAAGTACATAAGAATATTTAGAATTCTTGGGTGACTTGCTTCAGTTAACAAATGGATTAGTAAGAGAGCCAGAGATGTAGTTGCATTTTTGTGTGCTTTGATACCATGAAATGATGTATCCAAGATGTTCTCTTGTTTTGAGAGCAGAGCATTTGCCTTTATCTTAAATCCTTGCCTTATTATAATTTCTTTATCATTGGAGTTTCATTAAAACATATAAAATCACCATAGGTATGCATTGCCAAGGTAATGTTTGGTAATGATTAGCACCTTATAAGTTGTGCTTTGGGGTTTCAATTTTAAAGCTTACTTTTTTCCCTAAAATGAAACCCATTAATCTGTATAACTAATATGCAAGAAAAAAAAGATGTGGGAAAAAAGCCTGATTTTTTTTCTAATGTGATTATCTCTGTAACTTGAAGGCTAATAAATGAATACAAATAATGGTGTGTTGGAGTTTTTGCTCAGTTTTGTCTGTAGAGCTGTCAGAAGTGATGGAGAGGCAAGATACATTGGTAGTTGCAGGAGGCTGGAGAATCGGGAATAGGGAGTGACTGCTTACTAGATAAAAGATTTTCCTCTGGGCTGATGAAGATATTTTGTAACTAAATAGTGGCAGTGCTTACACAGTATATGAATATAATAGATGCTACTGAATTAAATACTGTAAAATGGTTTAAGAAGGAAACTGTTAATATTACATGTATTTTACAACCGAAAATAAAGTAAGATTCTATATAGGCAAGTGGAGTGTGTCCTTAAGTATTTTTTGCAGATGAAGGGCCTTACTAGTACAGAAGAAGTGGTTGTTATCTGTGGTAGCTGTCATTTTATACTAATTATGGTACAGGTATACAGTATCATAGTTGTTAATCAAGCCTTAAAACAGTTCAGAGTAGTTCTGTTATGTTTCAGTGGAATAGAGCTAGAATATTTCAAGGCATAACTGCCAAACTTATACATTTAAAAATTAGTAAGCAGACATCCTACTGGATGGGAGAAAATACTTACAAATTAAGTATGTGATAAGGGCTTATTATAACATACAAAGAACTCAACAAGTAACTCCAGTACAACCATATTCAAAAATGGGCATAAGACTGGAATAGACGTTTCTCCAAAGAGATAAAAGATGGCTAGCAAACACACAAAAAGACACTTAGCAGCCAGGTATGGTGGTATATACTTTTAACCCCATCATTCTGGGAAGCTGAGGCAGGAAGATCACAAGTTTGAGCTCAGCCTGGGCAATTTAGTGACTTAGACTCTGCCTCAAAATAAAAAATTGAAAAGGGCTAGTTCACTGTGAAGGTTCTGGGTTCAATTTCCAGTACTGCAAAAAGTAAAAGAAAAAAGGCAGAAAGACAGCAGTTTAGGGAAATGGAAGTAAAAACTGTAGCGATATGAACACCTCACACTGACTTGGATTGCTTCTGTCAAAAACAAAAAAATGAGCCAGGGGGCTAGGGATTTAGCTCAGTGGTTCTGCTGCCTGCCTCGCAAGCACAAGGACCCGAGTTCGATCCCCGGTACCAAAAAAAAAATGAGCCAGGTAGGGTGGTCCATGTCTGTAATCCTAGCACTTAGGAGGCTGTGAGTTCAAGCCTAGGCTACATAGCAAGAACCTGTCTCAAAAAACCTAGAAGTGGGCTGGTGGATTTAGCTCAGTGGTTCTACTTCCTGGCCCTCGGAAAGCACAAGAACCCAAGTTTGATCTCCGGTACCAAAAAAAAAAAACCAAAAAAAAACCAAGAAGTAAACGTGTTATAACAAGTGTTGAAGATGTGGAGAAGTTGAACCCCTTGTGCAGTATTTGTAGTAGTGTGCAGCTGGCATGGAAAACAGAATAGCAATTCCTCAGAAAATTGAAGATAGAATTTCTAAATGATGTAACAATACCATTTCTGAATATATTCCTAAAAATGTTAGAAGCAGTCTCAGATATGTTTATAGCCCTTTTTATATCAGAATTGTTCTACAATAGCCAAATGGTGGACAATCTGTCAGTGGATAAATGGATAAATATGTATGGTACATATATACATTGGAGTATTTCTCAGCCTTATAAAGGTTTTGACACATGCTACATGAGTGAACTTTGATGCTATGTTAAGTGAAATAAGCCAGTCACAAAAAGACTAATACTCTTAGGATTCTTACATGATATTCCTAGGAAGAATGGTGTTTGCCAGGGCCTGTTGAAAATGGAGAGTTGTTGTTTATTTATTATAGTTTCAGTTTTAGAAGATGGAAAGGGTTCAGTTTTGAAGAGTGGTTGAACAACAGTGTGGATGAACATACTACCACTAAACTATATAATTAAAAATGATTAAGATAATAAATTTTATTTTTTATTTTTTTGGTACCGGGAATCAAACTTGGGTCCTTGCACTTGTGCAGCAGGGAGTGAAACCACGGAGCTAAATTCCCAGCCCTAGATAATAAATTTTATTATATGTATTTTTACCATAAGTTTTAAAATCGCCAGTGGGTGGTAGATGGGGCCCTGGTTTCAATCCCCAGCACACACACAAAAAAAGGAAAAGTTAAATTAGGTTTTATATTTAAATTATTTTGGGTAGTTAACAAACATTTGTGACCTGTAACTTTTCAATAAATGAACATTTAGGTCTAGGTCATTTTATATTTTGTAACTCAGTGAACATGTCAGAAAACCTCCAATCTTGGTTTCTTTTTAAGCACAACGTGGAAGTTCTTGGAATACTTTCTGATGATGTAGAAACAGATTCTGTAGCCCCAGGTGAAAACCTCAAAATCAGGCTGAAAGGAATTGAAGAAGAGGAAATTCTTCCAGGATTCATACTCTGTGATCCTAATAATCTCTGTCATTCTGGACGCACATTTGATGCCCAGGTAAACAAGTTACCACAGTTGTCATAGTGAATGTATTTATATTTAAATTAAATTAGAATTTCAGAGGGCCGGGGGTTTTTTAGCTCAGCAATGCCACGCCTGCCTTGCAAGCGCAAGGTCCCGAGTACCAAAAAAAAAAAAATTAGAATTTCAGGACCTTTTGTACTGAATATTTGTGATGTGCCATTTAAATACTTTTAGGGAAATTGAAATGTATATCACAACCATGAGGTATATCTCACATAGTCTTGTGAGGTAGGCGGCAGAACCACTGAGCTAAATAAATCCCTGACCCTCACATAGTCTTTTTTTTTTTTGCTACCGGGGATTGAACTCAAGACCTTGCGCTTGCGAGGCAGGTGGCGGAACCACTGAGCTAAATCCCCGGCTCCTCACATAGTCTTTTAAGATAGCACAAGTACTAATTGGATAGAGAGTTTTTTTCATAAATTCCTTTTTAATTTTGATCTGATGATAAAATTGAGAATATCCAATACTTACTTTGCAAAAGCAGATTTTGGAGGTTGGGAGAGCAGTTTTGGGGATTGATCCCAGGGCCTTCACACCTTTTGCGTTTTTGACGAGCCTACCAAGTTGTCCACACTGGCAGTCCTCCTGCCTCAGCCTCAGTGCTGGGATTACAGGCCTATGCCACCACATCTGGGTTAAAAACAGATAATAAGGGCTGGGGATTTAGCTCAGTGGTGCTGCGTCTGCCTCGCAAGCACAAGGCCCTAAGTTCGATCCCTGGTACCAAAAAAACCCAAACAAACCATATATTAATAGTGGTATATCATTGTTTAAAACATCCTTCACTTTGATGAGAGCACAGTGGTCTTAGAAGTCATGGTCTGCTCATTTAGAGCAAATAATTTCCCTGACACAAAGTCAACACACACATTTCTCCATATTACTAACCATCTGAGCTCTCTGGGAGAGTGACAGAGTAAATGATTGGTGTGGGTAACAGAATTTTTGAGTACTCTTAATAAGGTCTGATGACTGATCATTAATTTTTTTTCCCCTTGGGTTCTGAGAGTTGAATCCAGGCCCTTGCACATAGTGGGCAAAGACTATCACTGAGCACAGACACATCCCTTTTTATATTTTATCTTGAAATAGGATCTCTTTATGTTGTCCGGGCTGGCCTTGAACTTGTGAGCCTTCTGCCTGAGCCTCTTAAGTAGCCAGGATCACCAGTGCATACCACTTGCACCTATCTCATTAGATTTTTGTTTGTTTATTTTGGTGGTACTGGGGATTGAACTCAGGGCTTGTACCTGCAATTTTGATACCAAATCTAAAGGTGTTTGCTTTTACTGGACCTTGGTTGTTGAGAAGTGGATAAAGCTATGGCAGATTTACATCTAGGTACCTGTGGATGGTAATGATTAATATCTTGAATATAAAGGAAAGCTTTCTTGGAATAAACCTTGCTTGTTGCATTTGTAAAGTTGACGAGGTATTTACCCATTTCAGTAGTGGAGGATATTGAATTCATGCTATGAGGTCAGGCAACTTGACCCATCCTGTGAATAAAATTAGAGCCATCTCCTTAAGTTAGTGATGAGTGCTTACTTATATTATTGTATGTATGGCATCTGGAATCTTTTTACCCTAGAGATTAAAAATAAGCTTTTGTTTATTTGACAGATAGTGATTATAGAGTACAAATCCATCATCTGTCCAGGATATAATGCGGTGCTCCATATTCATACCTGTATTGAGGAGGTTGAAATAAAAGTGAGTTTGTTTTAAGATAATTTCTTTATTATTTTAAGACTTTGTTCTTGATAATTTCTGATTGGGAATAGTAATGCACTTTAATTTGTATTTCTGAAAGTTCTTTGTATTTGGCACTTTTCTGATCTCATCTTTTTTTCTTGGATAGACCTTTATCTGCTTGGTAGACAAAAAATCAGGAGAAAAAAGTAAGACTCGACCTCGTTTTGTGAAACAGGATCAAGTATGCATTGCTCGTTTAAAGACAGCAGGAACCATCTGCCTTGAAACCTTTAAAGACTTCCCTCAGATGGGTCGTTTTACTTTAAGAGATGAGGGTAAGAGTTTTTAAATTGATGTTTAGGATGCCTAGCTTTGGTAATTGTCATCATTTAAGTATAGTCCACATTGTAGCAGGTTAAAAGAAAACTGAGATTCATATTCTGTAATCCAATAAGTGTTTTATGAGTTGAATATAGTAAATAGCAAAAAGTATTGACTGCGTTTTAGCATTAGTACTCTTATGAAGTAAGCACCTAAATTTACTAAATAAGACATTTCTGTAATGAAATCCTTTGTAATATGTATGAGTAATACTGGGGTTACATGACTTGATTTAAAGAAAAATCAACTAATTTTCCTTCTGTACACTCATTTTTGCTTAGTTCTGAGTGATGCAGAATAGTTGTAACTTTCTTCTTAGTGTCATGAAATTCTTGGGTGTAAGAAAATGTTATGAAACATTTCTTTTATAGGTCGTTAATATTTCTAACTTAACTATTTTAAGACTAGAGAACTTATATAAAACTCATGGTTCAGTTGAAATAAAGAGTAGTCTATTTCCATGATAGTTTCAGTCCCACTTAATACTGCATTTAGTAAGTTTCTGCTGTCAGTCCTTGAGCCTTATTTTAGAGAAAACTTGAAAGATAGTATTAGTTTTATGTTATATTTTTAAGATAAGGAATTTTGATAGTGAAACTGACTATTGGGTTTATTCTGTTAATATAATGATAATTTCAGTTACTAATCAGAACCTGACACTATCAGGCAGGCAGAAACAGAAAATAATGTAGCAGGGATTTTCATCCTCAGCATTATTTTTTTATTTTTTTACAAGATCCCTTTAGGTTTGTATCTCTTTTAGTCCACAGGAAAACTACTGGAAGAATATTTTTGGTGTTTTGTTTTGTTTTGTTTTGCTTTTTGGTACTGGGGATCAAACTCTGGACCTTGCGCTTGCAAGGCAGGCGGAACCACTGAGCTATAATCCCTGGCCCTGGAAGAATATTTTTATTGGATTGCAAGCTGCATCTTTTTAGTTGCATAGGGTTTGGTGTTTTAGCAGCTTTATAGAGTTGTAATTTACACATGAAATTGACCTGGTTTAAGTGTACAGTGTTCTAGTTTTACAACATTTATTTAGGATATCTAAAAAGAAACCTTATACCTCTTGACAATCACCTTTTATTACCACCTCAGCCATAGACAACCACTAATCTACTTCATTTATTTTTTACCTTTTTTTGGATGTTACATAAATAAAATCATAAATATGAAGTTTGTTGTTGTTTTTTCTCTCAGTACCTGGGATCAAACTCAGGACCTTGCACTTGCCAGGCAGATGAGGTGCCACTGAGCTACATCCCTAACCCCTAATATGGAGGGTTTTTTATCTAGTTTATCAGGTTTTTTATTGTATTGTTACATGTATTGTAATCCATTCCTTTTATTGTTGAATAGTATTCCATTGTGTGGATATGCCACATTTTATTCATCCAGTGATAAGCTTTTGATATAAGGAATATCTCTTCCAGCCTCCTCCTTCCAAATAAAGCCTACTTAAGATTACCACCTAACCAGAAATCCTGACTTTGGTGATAAATCAGATAATTGGTAATTTACATAACAAAGTTTATGATTAAAATAATACACTTACAGTGACTTGCTGTTAAACTACTGAAAGTTTTTGTTTATTTCATTTCTAGGTAAGACCATTGCAATTGGAAAAGTTCTGAAACTGGTTCCAGAGAAAGACTAAGCATTTTCTCGATGACCCTGCACAATACTGTGAGGAAAATTGACTGCAAAAGCCTACTTCACACCTCCTTCTCTTATTTTCTGCCCATTTATAAACCTCTCCCCATATTTTGCAAAAGAGAAAATTCATAACAAAAGTCCACATTATGTCAGCTTTCTCATATTGAGAGCTCTGCTATGCCACTGTTGATTTTTTTCCAAAGATTCCTCCCCCTCCCCATTCTCAAACTGCTTCTTTGGACAGATTTGGCAATAGCTTTGTAAGTGATGTGGACATAATTGCCTATAATAATGGAAACCATTTTTAAAATTTTTCATTTCCCCCTTAGGCATAATTAGTCTTTTTTTCCCCAGGCAGATCATTCTGAGTGTGCGAGTGTGTGTGCACGTTACAGACAACTACCATGTTAATAAAATATTCAATTTGAAACCCTTTTTGGTATTTGAATTGCTTTTGAATAATGTTTTTTATCTGGATGTAACATTGTTGCATTAGCTTTTTAACTTTCCCAAGTAACTGAATACATTTTATTACTTGGGCTTTTCTAAACTTTCCCTACTCACTACTCTAAATGAGGCATTTACAAACAAGTTTAAGTTTGTACTAGAGGAAAGAAATAGTTTGACCCCTTCTTTTGATGGTTAATCCATACAGATGTTAAATACCTTTATGCAGCTATGACACTGCTTTACTAACTAGGTCTGTCAGTTATTCTCTGCCAATTTATATTTTAACATGACTTGTTAATAGCACAGTAGACTGTGTTTAAAAAAAAACAGAGCATACTTTGTTTTTAAATAAAGAAAAACTTAATGAAATTGTACCCCTACAGAAAATTCCATTAACTGGTTTTAAATTAGTGGAATTTACATTAAGAAAGCATGTTGAGACCTGGCAAAAATGTCTTTTAGTATTTATAAGAGCTGCATGTATCTAGTATGGAAACTGTACAAGTGCCAGTTATACAAATTACTTTGTATCAGTAACTTTAAAGGTTGGAAGATCTTTGCTAGTTAAAGCTGATCTTAGTCCAGCAATTCAGTGAACACATATGTAGAATCAGCAGAACTGTATAGACTAAAATTAACAGTGATAAATAGAATCAAGCACAGTATAAGTTTTATCTCAATTATTTGAAATTGAGTTTTCTTTATTAAGTATAAAGTTGAAATTCGCTAACTGTTATTTGGATGAACCACAGTGCAGCATTGTGATGGCTCTTAGAGTGAAGGTTGACTTTCTATTACAACTATGATGACTCTGAAGTTTTTCATGAAAATAAATGGGAAATAAAAGAGACCATTTCTGGGTTTATCAGAAGCCTCCTTCATGTTCAGTGAGTGTTGCCATTTGTCAAATACTTCGCCTCTTTTACATGTGATTAATCTCTAAATGAGACACTACTTTGTAACTGTATTTAATAACATGTCCCCTTCCCTGTAACCTTGCTCCTCAGAAAACAAAAGCCTAGTCACCACTTCCAGTCACAAAACATAAAACTTAAATCTGACAGTGTCTTAACTGGAATTCGCATTCATGAAATGAATGAGCCTACATCTAACGGACAGGACAAAGTTTCTTCCTACAGCTTCTTAGAACTATATTTATCACTATTAAATTGCATGAAATTTAAATTTTATGTCTGAAATTTGCTGGGCTTTTATTTTTCTGAGAAATACAGAAGCTTTAGTCAGAACATAATCTTTTTGTACTTCCATGTTGATGAGTAATATTAGCAACTGCTTGGATTTTTATGAATCTTTAAAAGTTCATGAGCCACTGAAATTATTTCCAAAGATAATTTCCCTTTTCAAATTGAACACATTTTAAAAACACCAGTTCTGTTTGCTATTAAAACATACTTAGAATATTATGTGCATGTTGCCAAGACTTACTAAGTAAAACGACTTGGGCAGCAACCATAAGGGCCTACCTCTGCAAAAAAACAGATAATAGAAATACAAATGTAATTTTTAAAAAAATTCATTGGATTCTTAACATAGTTGCAATATTAATTGATACTATACATTTTATGGGCTTTGAAATTCAAGTATTACCCACTTAAAGTTGGTCTGTTTTAAACTTGTGGTTAGACTGGCTAGTCATTTGAATAAGGAGATAAAGTGTCTGAAATGAATCTGCAGTGTGTGCAGATGTTTGTTGGATCTTTAAAGAGCAATACAAACTCCTAGTCTTTCATTCTGTCTTCTGCAAGTGCAAACTGTTCATATGGTTGATAATGCAAAAATAAGGCAGTTGGTTGCATATTACAGATCTAAACATTTTTTCTCTGTACTTAGCATAGATATATTAGAACCATGATTTTCTTTGCATCTTTTTATATTAATGATCTTTGTACAACTTTCATGTTAGATTATTTATAGTATTTTAAATTAATGGACTGAATTTTAAGAGATGTCATTAAAACAAACATCTAAGTAATTGCCATTTTAAACCCTTATTTCTTACTGTGAAAGAAGGGAAAATATATTTGTTTATAATTTGCAAAAAGAATTTATCCAGTGAAAATCTTTGTAAAGCCAAACCAAGAGATGAACGGAGTATATATTGTCATGAAATGAACTGACAAATAGTGTTCTTGAATAATTAAACCCATGTATATTGTTTTGAATTTAAAATCTTGAAATATTTCATAACCGAATGTAATAAATTAGTAAACTGTAAAAGTATAGGTTAGTCACTGTAATGAGGTAATTCATACTTGTCTGTTAGTTATGAGAACTATAAGACCTGCTTTTATGTGCAACTTTGAAAGTGAATTGTTGAACAGTTACTGGAATCCTCTCAGTTGAAGCACTGCATATATTTTGAATCATACTTGCAACTAGGTGCAGTTTTGCAACCTATGAGAAAATTGAATCTGTGGGCAAAAACTGCTCCTGTGATGAACTTTTGGGGAAAAACAAACAAACAGCTAATCTCCCCTGGAAATCTTCAAGAACACTAGTAATTTGATCTTGGATGATTATTACACGTGACAGCACTCTAGCACCTTTCCTTTTTGGCATGGACTTGCTCATGGACTGCTGCTTCGTGGATAGCTTCATTGCTTTGGGTAGAGACTTATGGTAGTCAAGGGACAAATATGCAGTATTTATTACAGCTCTTAACATCAGGCAACTTTCAACCTTTAAACCCTTTGTGAAAATTCTGGTTACAACACTATAGCTCTGATTTTAGAATGATTAAATGTTATATTCAGTGTTGGCCTACCTTATTAGAATAAACTTGTGCAATTAATCCTCTCACAGACATATATGTAAGGTAGATAGATAGCAGTCAGCTGGATTTGGAGGATGATTATCTGTCTCCAAATGCTGCATTTATTTCCTCCAACTAATTTTTCAGTGATTCTAACAGATGCTAATATATTCATGATCTTTTTTTTTTCTTTAGAGACCTTGACATGGTAGCAACTTGTTAAATAAGTGTAATTATGTATGCACAACTAAAAAGACTTACTAGGTTTAAATTTAGCAGTTTGTTTTATTAGATTTCACAGTAAGTGGAATAGGAAGTGAATTTTTTTCAGTAGTAATTCAGTCAATTCCATTTGAACCAATTTATTGCCAGAATTCAGATAGATTTGGTTCAACTTGGGATGGTTTTGGCTCTAGGATATTCTTGATTCTCAGTATCCTAGAACTTATTGAGTCTTCCTTTTAATAAGTATACTGTACTTCTCACATACCTCTAATCCTTTGCTTCCTTGAAACAGTAATATGCTAGCTGAATTGTTTACTAAGGACTGTTAGACAAGGGCCTGGAGGTGTAGGAGTAGAGGTAAAACATTTTATGTTTCTCCAGTGTAAGAGAAAAGCAGAGAGGCACTCACTAGGTCTGATTAGGCAGAAAACACAAAGATTTCTTAAAGCAAACTCTGAAATACCAGTTGTCTTTTCTGCCTTGTCACACATGCCACCGTGCCCTTTAAAATTTAACATGGAAAATTCAGGTTTGTGGACAGCACAGGTAAATGACATTTTGTGCTTCCTGAGGCTCCTCTGCCAGGCACATTAGCTTAGTGCTTCAGATGTCAGCCCAAGTCCTTGCTACCTCCTTTCCTGTTCCCCGGGGAAGAGTGTTTGTGAGGCGCTCCTCAGGTGACCGTCCTCGCCTCCATTTCCCCCACATGCATTAGGTGAAACAGGCCGGAGCCTGCAAGGCCTACATTTTAGAGACTCAAACACTGGGTTCTCAGAAATGTACAAATTATTTAGTTTCTTCTGTTTATTTAAAAGGATACATGGATATTTCTCAGGCCAGGGTTTAATGACTAGTTTTTACCAGATAGTTAATACCTAGATCTCATTTTTTTTTTTTTTTAAAAGAGAGGATTAAAGGGAACTTACTAAGTTTGTTGAGTCTTAAACCTAATTCCAAAGTATGGAAGAGTGCTCTAGGTAGGAAAGATACCTTTTTCTTACAATTTGTAGCTACCTACTGTGCCTGACTTGGTGCCTGTGTGAGGATTAAGCCCTTAGTCCTGCTCTTGCAATTATTCAAATGACTGAAGTTAAAAAATTTTGCTTTTGTAATAACAATAAAAATTGTCATCTTCCCTTTTGACCAGTTTGTCTGTTTGTTTATAATTACCTGTGTTGTAACATTCCATATTTTTCTGTACACGCCTTTATTTTTGTATTAAGTATTGGAACCATATATCAGCAGAATTGTTGGATGGTTCTAAAAAGCTATCAAAGAATTCACAGACGTGATTGGAAACTATGGAAACCTAACAAATGAAAATAGCCACTCTATAAAAGATGGATTATAGACGGTGCTCAAGAAATAACTATCACAGTATGTAGTTTTATGTGAAAAAATAAGTTTTGGGGGAACAATGATCAGTTGTCAGAACTGTGAACCTCTACAGATTCAGGACTTCTAATAAAAATCAAGAGACCAAACAGTGCTTGCCCTTCTTTGTTGTCTAAGAGCAAGAAACTAATGATAAGCAGAAGTAGTATCCACAGTGGCTAATTGGATGGCAACAATACTGTATGTTTCTTTGTATACTACTCATCTTTTATACCATAAGATAGAATCACTTCCTGCTTTAGCTTTGTAAGTGAAAGCACCTCAAGTTTTGGTAACTAGTCTGTAGTATAGGTGTTTGGCATCAAACCAGTCTTGGCTTAGAACTTGTGAGCAAGCTTGCAGTAATCAAAAAGGAGAGATTTACATTATAAAAGTTCTAAATAAAGGATCTGGTGACATTTCCCAGGAATTGAGCACACTTTTCAACCTTTAAATGACAAGGCTTCCAACACTGCCCACCAAATAAGCATATTTTATGTGCTTTGTTGAAAGAACAACTTTCTATGATGTTTTTGGGCACCAGTTACCAGCACTGTACGGCAGTGAGTAAAAGACTAATGATGGACTTTTGCATTTCATGGTACATGGAACCAATTTCAGACTTGCATCTTTCATCAGCACATCTTAAAGCAGAAAGAGCATCAAAACCTGGGATATAGCCAGGTGTGCTGGCATACACCTGTAATCAGCACTTTAAAAGCCTGAGGCAGGAGGATGTTAAGTTTGAGCCCAGCCTGGGCTACTTAGCCAACTGAGTAAGACCCTGCCTTCAATCTGCACTACCACTACCACCCCACCCACCCCCCAAAAAGCGGAATGCTATAGTTTTTTGTGGTACCAGGGATTGAACTTAGGATCTTGTACTTGTGAGGCAGGCGCACTGCCAGTGAGCTAAATTCCCAACCAGGAATGCTGTAGCTTTATAGTGAGTGATTATCTCCCAATCTAGAATAAAAGATGACCAAAAAACTAAAATAAAAATTCAAAGTTTGCCAGATTTAAAAGGACCTAGAAAGAAGAGTTTAGTGTCTGATCATGTGAAAACACAGGTCCTGGAAAGTATTTTTCATTTAACCCCTGTTGTGACAAGATTATACTACTTTAAGCCTTTATGGCCATTTTAATGCTATGTGAATTTTATTTTGAAACTGTCTCAAAAAACATTTAAGGTGCTGGGTTAGGGATGTAGCTCTGGGGAGTGCTAAAACAGGAGGTCCTGGGTTTAATCTCCCAGTACCACCGAGAAAGTCTGGCTACTAGTAATACACACATTTAACTTGTTTTGCATTCTTCAATGTGTAATTATATTTAGGTTGAACTTTGTGTTTGCTTATAAACATTACAGTACTTAGAAAAATTCAGTCTACAATGGGCCAGGGATTTAGCTCAGTGGTTCTGCTGCCTGCCTCGCAAGCGCAAGGTCCTGAGTTTGAGCTCCCCTGCTAAAAAATAAATTCAATCTACATCACTATCTTTTTTTTGAGACAGGGCCTTGAACTCACTATGTAGCCCAGGCTGACCTCAAACTCATGGTGATTCTCCTGCCTCAGCCTCCCAAATGCTGGGATTACGTTCGTTCTATATCTCTATCTTAATTCCTTTACAAATACGCTGAATTTCAGGATATGAAGTCTTCAAAGAGTAAGATTCTTAGGAGTAAATACAATTTGTAAAGAAATTCCAGCAGACAGAACTTGTGTACAAAGGAGAGGATGTTTTATTTTATTAGGGTAAAATTTGCATATGATGAAATGCACAGATCTTAAATTTACAAGTTTGTCAAGTGTACACAACTTTGTACATACACCAGCTGACAGGCATTTCCACTACTCCAGAAAGTTCCCTTCTGTCACTTTTTAATCAGTCAGCCAAAGCAACCACTGTATTGCCCGTTTTTGAACTCCACACACGTTAATTACACAGGATGTGCTCTTGACTTTAGCATATCATTGCCAGATTAATCCATGTTATATCAGTAATTCACTCTTGTTGCTGAGTAATATATCCATTTTATTAGTAACCCACATTTCAAAAGATCTAACCTTGAAAGGGAGATATAATTTTATTTTCCAATTAGGATTCTTTGTCATTTTGGTTGCAAATACAAACAACTTTTTATCTACTTTTATGAAACTTGACAATTTCATGATCCTGGAGGTGGTGAAATAAAAAGTTCCCTTCTACTTTCCAGTGCAATCTTGGGTGCTTTTATTCCAATTAATCTGTTTCTAAATGATGTTACCAGTTCTAACACTGGACTGTCCTTACCACACTTCATGTTCCCTGGGGCAAGGCTGCAGGACTAACATTATTTGTATCTCTCAGGGCTAAATCCCCAACTTTTTTTTTGAGGGGCAGTAATTTCATGTGTTCAAGTTATTTATTGATTGATTGATTGACTGATTGATACTGGGGATGGAACTTGGGTCCTTGCGCCTGCGGGGCAGGCGGCAGAACCACTGAGCTAAATCCCCAGCCGTAGTAATTTATTTTTTAGAAATTCTTTTATTGATCCTGTATCATGACCTAACACTAACACTTTATAATGTCTATTTAAAACTTTCTTAAAGATACACCTTGAACTTCATAGCATTCACCAATTTTATACTGGTACTAGATAAAAGAACAGTCATGCAAGTTGTCAGCTGTTTATCTCCAATGATGAAAAAGTCCAATGAGAAAAGTACCCCCTCCTTTTTAAATCTAGAAAGTAAGCCCGGTATGGTGATACACACCTGCAATATCTTGGAGGTTGAGGCGAGAAGATCATCAATTTGAAGCCAGCTTGGGTTATCTAGCAAGTCAAAGCCAGTGCAACTTAGCAAGACCCTGACTCAAATATGAAGAAATAATTTTAAAATAGTCATATCACATTCCTCAGGGAACATAATTTCTCTAAATTGAGGTTGGCTGGATGAAAAAGTTGTCTATCAATTGTCTATAAAGTGGGGGGCTGGTGTACACTATGTATACTTTGTACCTCTGCTTGTGATACCTACGCAGCCTGTGTAGGGGTACAGAGAATCAGCAGACTTAGGTAGATAGAGCTGGGCTACTGAAAACTTCTTTTCATTTTCTCTCCCCACTGCAGTAGTCTATTCTCTAAGACTCCTGCCCCAAGTTTGTTTTTCTTTGAATCAGAATCTAGTATCAATTTCTTTTAGTTTGCCATTTCTTCCCTACTTGAACACAAGTGCACTGGGGCTCCTGCCTAGCCCCTAAACAGTTTATCAATCCTTTTAATAATTACCACATTAATTGTTTCTCGGCTTTTTGGCTAAGATCAAGTGTAATAATGATCACATTATTCTCAGCAAAGGAAAGGAGAGCTAACTAACCTTAGGTTATTATGTATGTGCCAGGCATTGCAGACTGCATTCTCTTAAGTCCTATGGGGAACTATCTTTATTTTACAGATGAAGAAATTAAGGCCTGGCTAACCTGTCCATAGCTGAACAACTAGTAAATCACAGTTGGGATAGATTTCAGACTCAGATCTTTCTAAGAAAACTATGTCCTTTCAACCTTTCTAAAAAGTCACATTCTGTACTTAAGCAATATTACTCCACCTCTTTCCTATATTTAAGCAATATTAATTCTATTATGTCTAGGTTAATGCTATGTGGCAGATTTCAGTACCAGGAACGTGCTAGGTATCCTGAGGATGCTAACAAAAAATGTTTAAATTGTTTAAAAATAATCCAGGTATGACATTTCTTTTGTCATCTCATTTGTCTTTTGTTAACTGACATCTGTAACTACTCTGACTTGGCACAGCTAAGAAAAATTTTTAATAGTTTTCAAGATGTACCTGTTGATTCTAGCAAATTCTTATTTTGAAGTAACTGGTATGAAATTTCTTTAGCTTTGCCATGTAGCAACACTCAACCCTGGCAGGCAATTGCACTGTCACTTATCAAACTTAATAAAATTATATAGTACTGCTTTTCATATAGTTGACAGCATTTGGTTAAGCAGGAACATTTTCAACTATTAAGGCAAACTACAAGTTCAAAGAGAGATATTGCAGTACCTTTAGGGAGAAACAACTTGGTAATGAGACCTGTACTGAACTGTTGAAATGAATTTAAAATTTGATACTTAAAACTTACATTTACTATAAAAGAAATGATACAAGTTAACAATTGTTCAATTAGAAATGTTCACTTTGATTTCTTTCTGATACTTTGCATATAATTTTTTTTAAAGTAGTAAAATTGATTTAGAATGAGTTAATCCTTAATTCAGTCTCTTATGACTACCTGTGCTATTCCTTTACAAATACTAGGTTTACTAGAATGGCTATCCTAAAGAAATGAAATAATAACAAATATTGGTGAGGCTGCAGGTAGAAAAAGGAGCGCTTCTACGTTGTTGGTGGGAATGTAAAGTGGTACAACCATTATGAAATCAGTATGGAGATTCCTCAAAAAACTAAAACTAGAAATTTCATTCAAACTAGCTATTCCCCTTCCAAATAACATATTCCTTCTCTCTGAAAGAGTTAAAAGTCATCATATTACAGAGATACATGCATACCCATATTTATAGCAGCATAACTTATAGCTGTCTTTTTTTTTTTTGGTACCGGGGAAGGAACTCGGGTTCTTGTGCTTGCGCAGCAGGCGGGCGGCAAAACCACTGAGCTAAATCCCTGGCCCAACTTATAGCTGTCTTGGAAGCAGCCCGTATGTACTCATCAGAACCAAAAACTGGAAGAAAACCTAAATGTCTATCAACTAGTGAAT